GCGCAACATTTGAATATGCTCTATAATAACATAGCTTCGATAGGTACGGTGAGTATATATAAAAATTAAATTTAGCAGCATTTAGACTTCTCTTTTTGCGTTCTTATTGCGTCGTTAAGTAATAACAACAACAACAACGACAACGACAACAAAAAAACATGTGCAGAGGAAAATGGCCGGCCAGGTAGTTTGTTTGTCGAGCGATTACCGTTGACAGTAGCACAGGTCTCGCGGTTGTCGCCAACTGAAATTAGCTTCGATATCTTTGACGCTGCTAGCCGTCGACATATCTCTGCACAGTTGCTATCGACAAACCAGGAGCGTCAAATCGTGTCATTGATAGGCACACGAGCAGGTATCATTAAGCTAGCTTTCTATTTCGTTAGCGAACAGGTATATATAAATAGGAGAAAGTTCTATGACGAACGTGAAGAATGAAGAAATCGATCGATTGAAAAAAACAATGCCATTTACAAATGAAAAACCAGCCTTGTAAAGATTCTATAGTTAATTTTGGTTATTCTAAATAGATCCATTGGAACGAACTCGCAAGGCGTTGCTTATTCGAACGACCCATATTAAAGCCGCAACTTCTTAAAGCAGGCGCGAAACAGCACTTCAGAAGTCAGGAAACAAGTTTCAACGGATTAACTTCGACGGCGAGCCACTAACAGGCTTAAAGTACTATAGAACAGATCAAGCGATTTGTCCGCAGATCTAGCAGCCCCGGATCTCACTTGGCAGAATAAATCCTCGCCCGTCCACTCCGCTTCATCAATAGTTCCATGTTGCCATTTTTCATTGCCCAGGTAAAACTCCGTCTATTACGCGCTCAGAGCACATAATATTATGCAATGACACAATTGCCATTGACTTAGTTGGTCGTTACGAGCGCCCCAGTACCGGTGACGAAATCGCAGTGTATATACGAATAATACCAAGTATTCCAGTAGATCGGCGCGGCATCACGCAGCAAAAGGGGACGGATCGCAAGGGGGTTAAAAAAAATATTGTCTACACATATAACGTTATACATTGAACTAGCCAGTTGTAGCAATAGTTGATCATATGATAGTACAATGTATCGATGATGACGTTACGCGATTTTTTATTTTCTCCTACTTCAACGGCTACCCAGGTCGAATTGGGAAGGATACACTAAATGGCGCCCATTTAAGGGTTCCTGGAAATATTGAGGGGACGCCACTTGATCTTCTTTAGACGAGTCGGGCACGTTGGTCATTTTAAGCCGCTGTTGCGAGTCCAGCTGCTAGCGGCTGGCTTTGTCATCGTTTTCGTTCACTGGCGTTGCAGTTCTTAAGAAATTTAACGTACCAGCCAAGCAAAGCCGGAATGACTGTCCCCTCCAGTTGTGAAACACAGAGGGCAACAGTTATAGTAACTGTAGTAGTTATTTGAATGAAAGAAAATGAATTGCGACGTCTGAGGATGTGGGGGGGGGGGGCGGATGACCCACGCATTATCGGTGAATGTCGTCTGTGCTCTAGTCTAGTAATTATAATAGTCATCTTCAAATTGTCAGTACTGGCTTGACGTTCGTCTGCGATGACATGTCAGATACGCAAACGCCCATATGAAAACATCGTGCCCCAAACAAACGAGAATGGATCATGACTCGGATTAGTTCTCAACTCGCTTTAGTAAACTGCGAATTTAGTGCAACAGGGGAAACGCTTTTTACTTGGTAGGTAGGAAAGGTCAAAAACATCTACTTTCCTTCTTATTTCTGCTGTTATTGTTGCTACCGCCCCCGCTGTCATAAATGGATCCTAATTACCGTTAGCCTCGCCTCATTATATCTAAGTGTTATGTATTTATCGAGTGGAATATGGGGGAGCTGAGCAGGGCGGGGCGGGGGGAGTGGGGAGGTGGAGGGGGGTAATGTAAAATATGTATTTTGACATAATACAAAGCACCGTTATAAAGTACAGATGTAACATACAAAAAGCAGACAACAACATGGCCTCCACTCTATCTACTGAGAATGAACTGGGAGGCGCAGGCAAAGGGGATTACAAAACGTAACGAAATGGCGATATCGACTTCAGTCCAACTTGGCAGTTAGCCAGTTACGCAGGCGAATGGAGACTATAGTGAGAGCTAACGTTGATGGACTATAAGGAACTTCATCGAAAAATTAATGAAGTGCAAACCGATTAATGGACGGCGTTTTTCTGATAAAAGCTTCAAATATCTCTTCCTTTAACATTTTTGAGCAAATCGCGATTTCTATGCCGCAGTTTTGCAACCTGGCTAAATGTACCTGATCACACTGTATCCTATTTTTATACGCTGGAATATTTTACGTTGTTGTCCAAATACGTTGGAATTATTAGAAGAAGAGAAAAAAAACTAAAAAAGGCCATACGACACTGTTTTTCTTACGCGCATGCCTATTTTAGCTACGATTGTGATTGGGTTCACATGAAACATATGAGTGGACGATAGATTATTTGCATGATTTTATATAAATATTGTAATCATGTTACTTGTCAACATCTACGTTTATATTACATACAGTCCGCGAGTGGTAAACAGTCGGTTTTCGGCGGTAGCTGCTCAGAACGGTGTATCCCAATGGCATAATTCTGTTGAAAAGGATTCGTGTCGCCCATGGTATTGAACAACGGTAAATTTAACAGTAGGTTTAATACAGCATTGTAATAATGTTACGCGTTTCCTATCTCGACCATATTACCAGTTTATAGCTATCTCGTAAGCTTTTCCATATATACATATCCGCACAAACACACACACAAACAGTGACGGCCACTAATGAACTGTCACACACTAGGCTGTGCATATCTATTAAAAATAATAATGTTTTTAACAAGCACACATACGAAGATATAACGGGATGTCGTGATATAACAAAAGTCCGAGGGAGGCGGAGCGGCCCAGCTAGAAGAAAGTGGGCCGATTTCTTCGTGACAATTTCTACTTGATATCAAAACAAAAACGCATTTCAAGTATACGCTGAGAGCTAGTTAACATTGGTGTCCTGATTATTTGGCAGTCAGACCCAACCCAGTGCGATAAATTATGCTAAAGGTTAACAGACATTTGATAGGCGGAATGAACGCAATGCCTATTAGTACGTAAAGCTGAAAACGTTGATTTTATAAAAGCCATCAGGCTGTACACGATTTCATTATACGGCTCTGAACAGGTTCGAATTGCTTCCTGACCACACAGACACTATATTCTATGAATCCTCTTTTATTTGATTTTTCTTTTACACACGACGGTTTTGCATCTTTTCATTTTGTTCTGTTATAAAGCAAATAGAGTTTTCAAGCGAGCACTCTCTCTGTACGCATTGCATGATCGCGTAGACGCGCCTACGCGGTAGCTTCAACGAGTTTCTATTAAAGACCAACATAGTTTTTGCGTTAATAGCAGATGATAATATTTCGTCAGTAGAAAACAATATGTTTTGCCATACTACATTTGCCCCCAATATTTGCAGATTCTGCCCTCGCTGTCCGGCCGATTTAAAAAGCGGTCAGCACGTTCCCTCGATACACTTCTATTAGCTATTTTACGCTCATAAATAAGTTGAAGAAATATTTTAATTAACTCTCTTTAATGTGAAATGGTTTCTCAAGTACTTGGTGAGAATACTGCGGAGAAATCATTTTGAGAATATAAGTAACCTCAGCCGTGAAGTACGTTAGGTCCATTTAAGCTGGAAGAAGACAGAAACGCATTTATTTCATTGGCACCACATTTGTTTCTTTGTCACAGTCATACAAAACAGAACAGTTACATCATATTACGAACAGCCAAATTTGCCTAGCTATTGTAGTTCCCGATGAATCTTCAGTTCAGCTGCGATTGATGTTAATCTTCATGCTGACTGCGTACAGGTGGAAAATTATCATGAGTGACAAGCGCTTGATTGAATAAAATAATCAGGCAAAGACGTCTGATCAGCATCCGTCTGTGGAAAGAGATAGTGGAAAACGGCTTTTTGGAACATTTCTACCTTTCCCATTACTGTTATTCTCGACCGGTGGACTGCCGGCGGCGCCATTCGTTGTTGCTCTTTATGCGGGCGTTCACAAACGAATACATATAGTACTATTGTTTGAGTTTCATTACTACTGTGAGGCCCAATATGTGGCCATTAAATATCACGCTTACTCCGTCCGCGTTCAGCTGCGTAAAAACTTTCGGTATTGAGATGTGTCCAGCCGTTCCCGCTGGTTCTATATATGACAATGAAAACAATACTGAACGATAGCTCTGTAAACGTTAAGTGTATCCTTCGCCCCGCCCGATATCTCCATTAATGGAACGTAACCAATCCCTGCTTTTTTTCTGTCACGATCGACTGGCTGCCTAGCACGGGATGTACTGGCGCTTCATTTAATATTCTGCTGCTACCGTGGCACTATGCAGGTGGCGATAGTAGGACCGGCAAAAATTGTTATCGAATTTACCTATCCAAATAAACTATATTCATCCATGTGCTGTATTGGTCTAACAGCTTGATCGCCGTTTGTTGTGTGCGCGCATACAGAACAATGTACAGAACTTTGCCCCGGGTTATGCCGTTATCCGTCGTCCAACAAGCTGCACCGAAACGCGCCGACCAAAGATATCTTTTGCATTTCTTAGACTTATTGCTCTATTAGCATTAGCCCTACTCTTACTGCAACTACTATTACGTTTTTGTTTCTCAACGCATATCGAATAAATTAGCAGAACACCAGATTGATGCGAGAATCGGTGCGACTTTGAAGAGATCCGCGTGCTCAGTTAGTCTCCCTGTCGTGAGGCGTTAATTCTTTTGTCTTCGGTTGTCTTTGTTATTACCACAATCTGCTTCTTTCTTTCTTCTCTAGATCTTATCACAGTGCTAACTAATGGCATCGCGGTCTTCCCGCAGTCCGGACCTTCCACTAGATGGCGCTCTGCTCGATCGGGTGGGTCTTGAGCGTTATCCACAGTCGAGGGCTGGCCGGACCGCGACGTTGGCAATCGTTTAAAATGGGACCGAGAAACACGACAAACATCATTCAGACATCAGGAACGAACAAACCACAAAAATGTTCAAGGTAAAGCTAACCGGCGCCCGCAAAGTTACAACAAACGTCGTACATAATAGCCTCTACACAGTTTCCAAAGCACGTATACGCGCTCTAAAACAGCACGTCGAGTTTTAACGAGCTGATGTATCCTATCCTGCGACTATACCAAGGCCTCTACTTCTCCTCTATCATCGGGGCAGAATCTACGAAAGTTGCCAAGCTACTATTTTCGTGGCTGTAGAGTGTACTTTTTTAGTAATTGCTTTTACCTACTGATCACCGCGGGATTCGTGCACCCAAGGATAACCTCTAAACCTTACCTCTGCTGTTGCTGTTACAAGCTGTTGTTAAGGTGATCCTAAGTATAACGGCATTCCAGCACTTATCAGCACCATCAGAACCGACGCCGTCATCATCATCATCATCATCATTGCGTACACATTTGTGCCTTTACTCAGTGCATGTGGCTTTTCATTAACGGATACTTTATTTTCTTCATTATCTGTTAACGTAGCTGTGCCTGCGTCAACCTCAAAACAGCCTGACCTTGGACCTTAAGAGCTCCATACCAGCTTCTTCCTTTTCTCTAACATGATCTCTATAAGATATACACAGAACCGAGTGGATAAGTAAACGTGATTGTCAACTGTCAGTCTGCTTAGGGACAGTGACAGCCTTGTAAGCTACTACCAATACCGTAACGTTTTTACTCTACCCATCGTTCATGTTTATATGTACTTTCTAAGCAACGTTTCGCGCTAAGGCGTATTTATAAATAACTTCCTTTCACTTTCGACGATTCTAAAAGCTTACTAGCAATTGCACACTTTATAAGACACTAAATAGCACTATTAACGGTAAACAGCGACAATATTACAGACGAACTTATTTTTTACTGCCGGCGCTACGAAACTTTAGCGTTTTAAAACTACGTAGTAAGAAAAAGTGCAGCGAATAAGAAAATAAATAGAAATTATGAATTTTCAAAAAAAATATCCAAACTCGATCTATAAAAAATAAGTATGAATACTTATTTTTTGCAACGCAGCTAGCTAGCTAGCTAGCTAGCCAGCTAGCCTATGTATTTTATCATTATTATTTTACAAGTTTATTTCTATCACGATTATTTTTTGTGTCTGATTTTAGATTTTCGCAGCCTTTGCTTGTGTGGCCATGATGGCCAGAGCAGGTAACCTCGGCGGATACGAAGATGAAGCCGATTATGCTGGAGGTACATATGAACACCATGAGATTTACTCTCCGCAGCCTTACAAATTCGGCTACGAAATCATCGATGAATACGGCAACAAACAATCCCGCCATGAAATTTCGGACAAACAAAACATTAAGAAGGGTTCGTATTCGTTTACTGATGCTCACGGAATTTCTCGTCGCGTTGAATATATCGCTGATGCTCATGGATTCCACGCTACGGTTCATACAAATGAGCCTGGAACCGTCTCATCGCATCCGGCTAATGCCCACTACATCGCTAACCCAGTTACCTATAGCGGCGGGTATGAATACGGCCACCATCGATAAAATAGAGTAGGTGGGATGAAAAGGGACAACTTCAGTATTAAAAGGGGTCGGAACTGGGAAGACCCAGAACGGTGGAAAGATATTAGAGCACTGGTAACGATTAATTTCCAAAGACGTTACAAAGTGATATGAATGATGGTCGTATGAATGTAACTGAGACATGTGCTTAATGGATTATTGCGGAGCGGCAGAATAATCAATGGTAGAATTAGATTTGAAAGTGATTTATTAATGTTTGTTTGGGGAAAGGTAACTTTCTGCCATCTCTGGTATAGCTGGAACTATTCAGAGTTCGGTATGCCGCGCATTAGAGAACTTACGTATTAGACACCGAGTTGAATTCAGTTAGAGTTGAAAATCGTAACTAATAGATAATAAGTTAATTGTTAAACAACTAGTGAAGTTCTGAAACTGTTTCGTCTATCATTCTACACAGCTAACTGCCAAAGGGGCACTCGGGCCCTATGCTACCAATATACACACACATAGTTCGCACTTATATTGTTAAGTGGATTGAATTTATTGCCAATTTTTTTCTGGAAAAAGTAGTCAAAAATTTATGCAATGTGTACATAAGCGAAAATGTTATATAATAATAACAAACAAACAAACGAACCGAATAAATTATGTCTACACATGAGCTACTTTGAATTTTGTTTAGACAAGAGTGCTTCGATTATATTTATCGCATAGACAGACCTCACGCTGAATGCGATACTGGAAGAAACAATTCAGAGTGATACGCCTCATTCAAGTCTTCGGAATTATGCGATGAACACGAAATAACTAAGAGGTTAATTGAAACAGATGTAAATAGAAGGGTATAACGAGCCCATCGTAGGTCTTTCGATAAAGATCAGAAGATCCATCGCCTTTGTCAAAGCTAAATCCTCTCGCACTACTATCCTCGTAATTGCCAATACGTCCTATGGCAAATGTGAGTGTAGTTTTTTTTTACTGACAATTGAAGTAGCGCTAAAGCAATCTCATTGGCCAGGTTGGGAATCGAACCGGATCACATGCTTATGGGTCAAATGCCTTGTTCGTTTTGGTAATGCAAAAGGTTAGATGAGAGCTGATTTGTGTCCGAAATTATGAAGGACATTTTCTACTATTTGTTTGTCATATGCGTTTCGTAGCATCGATTCGACCAATATGTATATATGTATACAAACGAGAAGGAACCTGCCCAATTAAAACGTTTATTTTTTTCCAATGGAAGTGTTAGTTATCTTCTGTTACAGTACAAACCTGAAAATATTTCAAAACATCTCTTCCAAAAATTACGTAAAAAAAATTTTTTTTCCAGCAAAGGGGCAAAATTCAATATTGCAAAAATCACAGTTGAACGATAATTATGAACAACTGCCCCTTGCTCAAGTCCACGCACATTTCCATTGCAACCTGTCCCTTGCGTAATCGGACTTTTTACTGCCTCCCTCGCCCTTACGCAGGTCTCTATGACTAAACATAGGAATTCTACATTCGATTTCAGGGCTAGTCAAAATCATATCAGACTTGCATGATCTGCCACGACATTTGATTTATGCAATTGTATAGCGCTATTCCTCACTCTGGACGTGCGAACGATATATATCTAGATATATATATATATATCTAAAAAGAATTAATTTTACAGATATAACGATATCGAACAGCTGAATGAGAGCACATATTTAAAATACAACAAAATCGCAATAATTTTCATTTGCAAGCCGGTGATTACCGTCTTTCTGATATCAATACTCGATACATTGGTACAACTAGATAATGCAATATTTAGAATAACACTCGTAATTAGTTTTAGCACAGCATTGGTTCGTACTATAGCTACTAGTAAATATGGCTCGTATCGTTGTTATCATTACGGTAATCGCTGTCGATTACGAAATCGAACTAAAGTAAATAGGCACAATATTTAGAGCCGTAAAAAGTCACGAGAAAAAAAAGCAGCAAACAGTGCTGTGCCAAAATGAAGAACGCTACAACGAACGAGATAAGAAATACGTAAAATTCCAGGATAAATGTATCGTGCCGTTTCGCTATGCTGGATATTATCGATGTAACAACTGCGACATCGTGGCTGTACGGCTACGACCGGCAACGTACGGTGACAATAGCTAATCCGTATTCTTCGACACTGATAAACGGATCATTAATACTGCCTTGTAATAATTTATGAAAACGAACGTTTATGGGCAATTTTTTTTATATTCTTCTTCTTCTTCTTCAGATTTGCTATTACTGGAAGGGTCGAGAGGGGCGGGAAGGGGGTACGCTTTACGATCCACGCTAACATCGTTGTAGGCCAACTAGGCAAATTGTAGCTAAAGGCACATATTCTATAGCAAGGTCGTTATACAGTTTCACTGTAATCACTATTTCATTTTTGAAGTACGCTACACATTTTATGATAGTACACGACGATTTAAAAAGCAAAATAATAAGTTATTTGATTATTATATTAGGTTGCGACTTTGGCTTACTTACGCACCGGCATCGTTAGCTAACTGTTATCTAACCAAGTAGTGGAAATGCTATATACACTTCAATATGAATGCTTGTAATGAAATGTAAGTGTCACTTTACAATATATATATATATATATATGATTGAGTTACAATTTCTCGTACTTCAGTGCCGACACGCAGGATGTGGTTTCGTTAGTCACCTTTTGCTCGCAAGGAAAATGCACTGACATCGACCTAATTGCCCTTTTTTTGTTTCTGCTTCAGGACGAATGTTGGAAGTAGAAGTATTGGAAGTTTGGAGCGAACCCCCTGCCGTCGTACGCCCGGCTCATACCTTAACACTTGAAACATGTCTTGGAGACTCATCTAACGAAGCTGTCAGGTTATCAGGATAAGAAAAAATGCATGGAATTGAGAAGCTAGTGCAGGTAAAACCAGACAAAAGCTTACCTTCTTATAGTCATCGCCTAATAGCTTTTCGTAGTCTTTTAAATGCATGATACTTTTAGGAAAAAGGATTAGCTGTGCTTTTTAACTGATTTGTTTGTTTGTTCGGCTGCTTAAATCCAGAGCAGACAGCTTCGGCTTGACCCCTAAGACTCAGGTTACTCTGCTGAGGGAAACAGGTGCGAAGACCCTAGAAGAGCTGAAGAGGCCTATGAACAGCTGGACAGCAGCAACATGTTGGTCTGTGTGAAGACGCCCTGGAAAACTACAAACGGATTCCTACCGATAACAACATTTATTCGGCCGCAGCAGCACAGCTGTCACGAGCACTAGCCCGCCACAGTGGCGGTCATAGTAACCACGCGAAAAGAAAGAAAAAGAAGACAGGTCTGGTTAGTTTTCAACTCCAGAATGGAAAAATCCGGGAGCCGCCAGTTCCTGTTCGGCCAGTTTGATGCCGTTATATATTAGCGTGGCTGATGGTAATAATAAAACCGCAGCAGATGCAATGCAAGCCTGCCACATGGCTATCGTGGTGTGCGTTACATTTTAAATGGCAGATGCACGAAGCGCATAACAAGATCAAGCGTTTTTTTCCGGTTATTCTTTAGGTTAGAATCACTTGATTGGAACATATAGTACAATCCAAGCTTACTGGTATATTAAGCACAAATTAAACTCCGGTTGTTGGTGTCGTTGGGTTAGAAGTTGCTTTATTGAGCCAGCTCCTGATCAGGCTTTTCCGCGACGACCCAGTGGTAACGTGTTTGTCTACTAGGCCTATTCCTAAACTTTGTAGTAGTAGTCACTCTTCCTAGGCTGTGGACTCGGATCGAAGCCGGATGTAGCAACGCTTCCTTTTGACCACGAAAGAGCCAGTCGTCCGAAACAGCTGCCGTACCAAGGCAGTACCGGGAGTAATATAAAACTCGAAACGTTCATTTAGCTCATAGTGCGACGCCGTTGTTTAGCCCGTTCGATAAAGGTGGAGATTTTACACGAATACCTATTAGAGTGAAAACCGACTTGGAGAAGCAAAGCGGCGGAATTCAGTAGCGTGATTAATATGTACAGCATTATCTTTTGGTCTAACGATCAGTGCCAATCTACTATAAAAGTGTGCATTCAACGCTGATTTGAGCATAGGTACGTGTATAATATAAGTCTATATTTATCGTTTCGTGTCAACACAACAGTGTAGCCGTGCGTGTACAATAAAGTCTATTGTAGTAGCAATAAGCCGAACCGATGTGTGGTCGAGCCACACATACCTTGCGGTAGACATCTGAAGCACTTTTTTTCATCTAAGGGATCATTTTGGTAGGTGAGTGATACGATTCATGAACGTTGATGTAGTCGCACCGTAGCATTACCGAGTAGTATCCATTGTCAAGTTTAACCGCTAAGAGGATGCATGAAATTGAATGTCGTATGACCGAAGTAACAACTGCATCGGACCAGCAAGAAGTGTCGTTTCCTTCATTGCTACACTATGTAATCTCTTACCAACGTTTCTGTGTTCTTTCCAATAATAACATAGTATAACGATCTACGCCCATAACGTCATGTGACTGATCAAGGCATTGATGATAATTGCTTTTCTCTCTTCTGCTTTATCGCAGGCCCGACTATTGAAGAAGGACTCTTATCGATAGTAGTCAATGATCTAACGGCCGCTGCATTTAACTACAATAATTTGAGATGTGAGATAACCTGCTTATATTGTTAATTATAAGAACAGTAGTAATTAAATATTTGCGATGAGCAAGTTATCACATCATTTACATTAAACACCTATATTAGGCCGTCTACTATTATCTTTGGCTTTCTATTTTTTTTTGAGGGATTCGGTTCGAGCGCATTGCCGGTGAAGGATCCACTGCACGACGGGTGGACGTCGCCGTGTACATTGCATACAAATGTTAGACAGTAAATAGTTGCGCCCCAAATCGGTTGTGATACCTATGGGAACACTGGGTGTTTGTCGTTAGCATTGTGAGATATTCATATGAAACAGCGGCCGAGGTGTACAATACCAGTATGCGTGGTTATATTAATTATAAAAGAACTCACTAATAGTCGTAGCGGTAACCGTAATAGGGTTGTTGAATATCTGAATAGTGCCGGCATCATTCATGAGACAGAATTTCACAAAGCACAAGAATCGATCTTTCATTCACGTTCTACTATATATGCATACATACATCTGGTGCATCGGTGGTCTGCTATAAAAGCTGTCCTGGTCTTTATTTTATGCAAAAACAGGCACAGGACATCGCAAGTGAGGACGGTCACAACAAACAACATCTGTGGTAGTTTGATCAAATCACGTCTGTCTGTAAACATTAAAAGTCTATGTAAGCCGCATGTCGAAGAGGGACAACAAACACAATTAGCTTTGTGCTGGGCACCAGCCGTCCTACTAAAACTTAGTAGCGGATTGTGACATAAAATTGAGGGTACTTTTAATAGTAATGTGCACGTTATGTAGAATTATCTGGAACAAATTTCGTTCGCATAAGCTTTGCTGCCATCTGTACTGTTATTACGGTTACTGCGGCTGATACTGTTACGCTACCGAACGTGGACTAACGCCGTTGCCGCTGTCAAGTAATAAATTTCCACGCGGCGCTGAAATTAGTTAGGGAAGCGACTATGTCGGCAAATCGTCTCTGCAAACAACAAACGTACCACAAAAGTACCACCAAATGGTTCATGCGTG